CCAATAAACAAAGGAGATTTTAAAATAAATGAAAATTTTGCCATTAAAATATTACAAGATACCATATGACACAGCAATTCCATTTCTGGGCATATACCCAAAAGAGTTGAAAGCAAGGTCTTGAAGAGATATTTACATATCCCTGTTAAGAGAATCATCATTAACAACAGCCAAAGGTGGAAGCAACTCATGTCCATCAATGAATGAGAGGATAAACAAAATGTGGTATATACATACAATGGAATATTTTTTAACATAAAAAGGAAGGAAATTCTGACACATGCCACAACATAGATGAACCTTAAGGACATTATACTAAGTGAAATAAGCCCGTCACAAAAGGACAAATACAGTATGACTTCACTTATGTGAGGTACCTAGAATTGCCAAATTTATAGAGACAGAAAGTATACTTGTGTTTTCCAGGGGCTAGGAGATAGAGAAATGGGGGTTTCTGTTTCTGAATAGAGCTTCTATTTTACAAGATGAAAAGACAGAACAAAACAATGTGAATGTACTTAACACTACTGAATTGTGTCTTTAAAAATAGTTAAGGTGGTAAATTTTGTTATGTGTATTTTACCATAATTAAGAATAAAGTAAAAATATCATAAGCACAGATTACATTAAAATAAGTTTTATATAACTTTTAAAAGAGATGAATTTTAATGTTATTTAAATTATTCCAGACAAGAAAAAAGTTTAAAGTTTATGGTTAGTTTTATGAGCAAGCATTTTCTTAATTCCCAAATCTTATGAAGAATGAATTTAAAAAGAAAAACAAAATCACAGACCAGTTTGAATGAGTGCAAAATCTGAAATAAGATGCTAGCTAACTGGGTATGGGAAAAGTATCAAAAGAATATACCATACGGGGTTTATTTTAACACCATAAACATAATTCCAAATCATGAAATTTATTACTATAAATAACAAATAAGGACAACAAAATATGATTATAGTAATAGATGCCAAAAATCATTTGATAAAATTCAGCAAGTATTGCTAATAAATATGAAACAAAATAGAAATCTACTTCAAGTTGATAATGACTATTTACAAAAACCCAATAGCAAATATATAATGCCATTAAAAGCTATTTCCAGCAACTGGGAACTAGATAGGATGCTCATTATCATCACTATTACTCAACATTTTTGGAGATTTCAACTAATTCAATAAGATGAGAAAATAATCAGAACAAATAACTAGCTTTTAAAAAGGACAAAAATGTGTTTGTTTACAAATGACATGCTTATATATCAAGAAAATTCAAGAAAATTTAGTTTAAAAGCAATTAGAATAAATTAGATAATTGGGAAGGGAGCTAAATACAAGGTAAATAGACAGAAATCTATAGTTTTTTTCTAAATAACATAATATATTAGAAATGGAAATGAAGAATCAGAACACTTACAATGGTGACAAAACAATAAAATACTCAGGAATAATTTTAAAATAACAACTATCACAAAGGTAAAGCTCTTCTTTGAAGAAAGTTATGAAATCATATTGAAGGACATAAAACAAGATTTGAACATATGGAAAGATAGCCATGTTTCAAAGAAAAGACTTATTCTCATAAAAAGTAAATCCTTTCAAAATTAATGTAGAGATTTAATGCAATTTCTATTAGAATCTCAAATAAAAATGTTAAAACTGTAAAAATATTTAGTTTGAAGTACATTTGAAAAATAAATGTCTGTACTGAGATAAGAAAACATGAAAAGAAAGACTAGTTGAAGAGAACTTGCATTATTCTATATAATGAAGAGGTAATATGCTAATTAGACCAAACAGCAGAAAAACCGTCTGGATGACCTTTGGGACGAAGCCGGGGCAGCTGGGGCTGCAAGGGCCGAGCCCCTTGCACAAATTTCATGCATCGGGCCTCTAGTTAGATAATAAAACATACTACAAAGCCACCATCATCTGAACAGTATGGAGATTAGAGGACCAAAGAGCCAATAAACAAATCCAAATATAGAAAGAAATTTGATATATAATAAAACTTGCATTTCAATTCTTCAGAGAAAAAGATTAATAACTGGTACTACCATCTGAATAGATTTCTCTAATGAATATATATGAAAAGATGCTCTACATCTTTGGAAATGCACCACAATAATATATCACTTCACAACCACTAGGAAGCTAGAATAAAAAAGTCAGATAATAACAAATGTTGGTGAAGATGTGAAGTCAGAAATCAGACACTGTCTGTGGGATTGTGAAATGGCCCAGCCACTTTGGAAAACAGCCTGGTAGTTCCTCAGAAGTTAAACATAGAATCACCCTATGACCCATCAATTCTATTCCTGGGTATACAGCCAAGAGAAATTAAAACATGTCCACACAAAAACCTCCACATTAATGTTTATAGCGCCATCGTTCATTATAGCCAAAAGGTGGGAGGAAACCAAATATCTGTCAACTGACGAATGAATATTATTGCCCATAAAAAGGAATGAAGTACTTATACTGCCAAAAAATAGATGAGCCTTGAAAGCGCCATGCTAAGTGAAAGAAGGCACTCACAAAAGTCCACGTCTTGTGATTCCATTTGTATGAAATGTCAATAGGTAAGTCTGTAGAGACAGAAAGCAGATGAGTGGTTGCCAGAGGCGAGAGGTCATAGGGGGATGACAGCTGAAGTGCATGGGGCTTCTTTTCAAGGTGATGAAATGTTCTAAAATTGACTGTGGGGATTCACCTATCTGTCTAAATGGGTGAATTGTATGGTACATGAATTATATCTCCATAAAGTTGTTTTAAAAATGGTGCCATCATAAATGGTCATCCATCTGGAAGAAACAAATTGGACCCCTACCCCCCTAAGTATAAAGATTATGTTCCAAATGGGCTAGAGATTTTCATATAAAAAATGAAAATGTTAGAAGAAATTTTAAAAGAAAAATGGAATAGATTTGGATAATAACATGAATAAATTTGGTGGGAGATACCTGTAAGGTAACAAAGGAAAAGATAGATATATACTAGGTTCAATTTTGAAAGTTGCAATGGTAAAAGCTACCAAAAACAAAGAATAAAGACAACTTGCCAGAAAAACATGCAAAATATACAACAGAAAAGGGAAACTATGTTGTATATGCAAAGAATTTCTATAAATTGTAACAAAAAATGCCCAGGAGAAAAATGGAAAAGAGGTATGAACAGACCATTCCAAATTGAGGAAATCTAAATGGCTAATAAAATGCTTGCCCTCATCATTAGTTGGGAAAATGCAAATTAAAGCAAAATAAGTTTTCATTACTTTAATTTATCAGATTGGCAGAACATTTTTAGTGAAATGTTCAAGTCTGCTGAAAATTGGAGAAAATGGGTACTTTTGTTTCTTGATGAGCAAGTTATCTGGCACTATCTATTAAAATTAAAAATACATATGCCTTTGACCAGGAAATCCTCCTTCTAAGAATGTGTTCTATGGAGGGAAGTCACCTTTATATAAGTGGAACACTATAATTTCATTTGTGGTGGCAGAAAATTGGACTCCTTGAACATCAACGTCACTCAATGATCAAATAAGTCGTCACATGACCAAGCTGTGGAATATCATGTCGTGGTTAAAACATGAGTTAGAGCTTCAGCTACTGACTTGTAAAGGACGTCTGTGATGTACTATCAAGTGAGAAAAGTAGGTTGCAGAGCAGCAAGTAATATCATCCCATTTAAAAGACAACCTCTCTCTGTTTAGATGCACATGAAAGAAAGATGTGCAAGGCCACCCCTGTGTGTCAGCCTGGTGAGACCTTTGTAGGTGAGAATGGAAGGTGGCGGCTAAGGGGAAAATATTACCTTTCTTCATTAGACACTTAGAATCTTTTCATTACTTATAATGAATAAGTAATTTGTCATTTAAAAATTTTAGAAATAAATTAGAGTCATTTTTTATATTCCCTGTCATCACATACTCACTGTGACTGCACTAGTCTGAGTGACCACTATCTTTTTCACACTTTTGCAAGAGCTTCATACTGACCTCCCTGCATCCACCTTAGCCCCACTAAGCCAGCCTCCATATGCAGCCAGAAGGTATTTTTTAAATTCAAATCAAATTTTGTCAACCAACTCTCAAGCCTGAAATGGCTTCCCTTTGCTCTCAGAAAGGCCCCATCCTCTGCCCGACCCCTGACTCTGCACACACAGGCTTCCCTGAAGCATCTCCCATCATTACACCCACCGCCTGCTCCCATCCTGCAGTGCGTTACCTGTGCCATTGTCTGAACCACTGCCTGCGTCTGGGCCTGCAGATGTGATATTTCTTCTGCATGGAATGTCCTCCCTCCTCTTCATTTGGACCACCTCTAGCTCACCCTGTGGGCCTGGGATTTAATGTCACTTCCTTTGTCAGGGTGGCCTCTCCTCTCAAGACTAGGTTAGACCTCCCTGTTGTAGTCCAGCACAGCCCTCCCTACTCTTCCTCCATAATGCTTATCACAGCAATCTAGTTAATTACAGAGTTATTTGTATAATTATTTGTGTGACAGGGATAAAAGAAAAACTATTAACCTATAAGGATTTGCATCTTCTCTTCCAGCTCCCTGCTTTGGGAGAGAAATGGGTCAGACAGGCGTCTAACCCAACTCTGAGATTCTGAACTTGCCCTTGTCCTCCTCATGCCCACCACCCAGTTAGGAGAATTTGCCTGGCTTGGATATTTCCCTCCTCTCTCTTACTGATCTAGCCAACCAGCTTGTTTTGAGCTTTGGTTATGACCGAGCCCTCTGAAGAGCTGGTGAGCTTGCAGGCGTCTCCAGACAGTTAGAATGAGCTACAACTGGAAGATGGGACTTTCCCCATCTCCAAATGGCTTTCTTCTGCACCTCCCACCCTCCAGAGACCCTCTCCACGTGGGCTCCCGGAGGCTACAAACACCCCAACAACAAACCCCAGCCTGACCTGCCGCTTCAGAATCTCCATCTGAACCCCCACTCTGCATGCTTAGGGTCATCTGTTCCCTCTCCCACCCTCCTAGTCACCTGTCCACCGAGGACTGGAGACCTGGACCGATCCTGGGCTGGTCTTGGAGGCTAGGTGTTCCCAAGTGCTTCTGAGGCGGGTGCTGGTTCAAGAGCTTCGTTGATTCCAACCGACTGGCCTGTGGGGCTGAGCGCTGTGACTCACTCCCAGAGAACAGACTTTCCCGACAAGCTCCTCAGAGTGAACACACCCACATGCAGGTGGTCCCCTTGCAGCTACGACCGACCGCATGTCCCAACAGCACAGGCATCTCAAAAGCAGTCCTGGATGCTGCAGGCAGGGGCCCGGTCTGTGGCACTGCTGGGGGAGCACTCCTACTCTGCTTCTTTCTAGTCTCTAGTAGGTCTCCCTGTCCCGCCCCTCCCCCCCAAGATCTTAGAGGCCAAAGGGGTGCCTCCTCGCTCCGTGTCCAACCTGTCTGAGAGGCCTCACCAACTCCAACATAATACAAGTTTGGAGAAAAAACCGTCCCCCTGGAAGCGCACAGTCCTCCATGGCTGCTGCTCCCAGAGCCTGCCTGGGCTTCTCCAAGCCAGGTGCTGAGCCCCCGGCCACCCCTTGTGGTGAGTCATAGAAATGCCTGAGACCCGTCAGGGCTCAAGGTCACCGTCACCTAGAGCCTGCTCTAGGTGTGCCTACACCTGACAGATTAAGCCACCCACAGCTTGGGGGACCACAGCCTGGGCATAGGCTGCTCATTCAAACCCTCAGAGCCTGCAGTGCTGCCCTGGGGCCTCTCAGAGTTAGTGGTGACTGCTCCGGCCTGGATCCTGGCTCGGGCTCTAACTCCACTTCTTACAGATCGCAAGCAACTCCCCTTCCTGAGGGTGGCAGACGGCTGGCGATGTTGCCAGTCTCTGTTCTCCCCTCTCTTCAGGGCACACAGCTGCCCAACTGGAAACTATCTTTCCCAGCTTTCCTTGCAAATAGCTTTAGACAAGTTACTATTTCCATCTGTAGGCAGGAGAGGTATAAGCTACTTTTGCCTCTCTTGCTTCCAAGAAAGTTGCTTATCCAGGGTTTCCTGTCTTCCCCCCCTTCCCACAAGCTAGACTATGGACATTCTAGCACCCAGATTTGACTGTGCAGATAAGAACAAAGAGATGCAGGGAAAAGATGGAAAGAAGTTGGATCCCTGAGTGACTTGTGGAGTAGACCTGCCAACCTGGGCTTTTTATCTCCTTTTGTGTGAGAGAGAAATAATGTTCCATCTTATTCAAGCCATTGTGGTCTTGGGTCTCGTTGTTACAACAGCTTAGCCTTTTCCCTAACAAATATGCTGAGCCTGATTCTCCATCAGTAACAGTAGTCCCTATGGTTGCTGCAAGTTCCAGATTTCTAACTCTAGGCTGTGCTTTGCTAGGCCCCTTGCTTCTGAGAAGCTGCCCAGGATGGGAACCATCCTGCCTTAACCTGGAGCCTAAGATGAGCCTCACTATACTCCCTGCTCCCTCTTTACTTCCAGAAGTTCCCTGATGCTCACATAAGGGCCTGGCCCTGGGAGAGATGGGGGAGAGGTTATGTAAAAGCATCGAAGCCCCTCCCCCCACTTTTTTAAAGCTAAGGTCACAGCTGGAAGAGGATCCAAGGGAAGGAGGATTAGGGTAGGCTGCTGCCTCTGTCTAAGGCTGCCTAACGTTTCAAGACCTCCCTGACATGAACCTAGTTAGGTATCAATCATTACCCTATCCTTGGCCATTTTAGCCCAACTGCTCCAATGGTAGGCCTCTTGCAGGACCTACCCCTCACTCACCCATTCTTCCAGCTGTAGGCCAGACTCTGAATGTGAAGATGGGGTCCAGACCTGTGGACACACAAAAAAGGCTACGGGGCTGCTTTTCTCAAAGTCTACTCCATAGGATCTCAGATGAGTCCCTGGCTAAGGTGGCAACTACCTACTTCATGCCTGGCCTGCCTGGCGGGGAGGGGGGGCGGCCCTACAAGTTGGTTTAGCAGCTGTTAGAATGATGTGATAGCACACAAACCTGTGCCCTGGTGGGCAGCCCCTAGTTTAGTCTAGCCCAAGCTGACCTTAAGAATTTGCCCAAGGGTGATCCTAACAGAAGCCCAGGAGCTGGAAGCTGCTGACCTAGAACCAAATGGCCCAGGGTAAGCCCAGACCTCCTAAGAACCATGCCAAGGAGTGGAGGTGGGGCTCAGAATTCTGCCTATTAAGTCTGGACTGAAAGCCTCATATCCTCCCTGAGGTTCTTCTTGTCTACAGCCAAGAGTGTCTTGTGCCTCCTATGGTCAGGTCTCATGCTGGGCACCAGGGTTATCTGTTTAGCATGCCTCCACCCAAAACACTTTCCTCCACTCATCATTTTATTCACGTCTCCTGTGAAAGATATCTAGTTCTTATACAATCCCACCCCCAATGGTCAAATGGGCCCTGGAGTGGGGACCTCATCCAATCTAGGCTGATGGGTCTTTCCTCTAGGAGTTCTGGGCTTAGGACAAGAGAGTTGGGTTAGACCCTCTTTGGTTGCTGAAGCTTTATGATGTAAAAGTCAAGACTCATATTCTCTGCCACGTAGATAAAGTTACTCTGTGGAGAGACAAAGACTAAAGCAACATGAAGAGACAAGCAGAGACAAGTGACAGGCACAAGCCCCACAGTGTTCTGTTTCCTACTTCTATTTTCCCCTGAAGCTCAGCTCTATTCCTGCCCTTCCCTGGGGTTGGATGTTCTAAGACTAAATTGGATTTAGATCCCCTGCAACCCAAAAGAAACTCAACTAACATACTCTTGATTGTGGAAAGTATGAAGGACTCAAACCTTAGGCAGACACACTGAGGGAATTGCAGGCATTCATTCCAGCAAGGAATGAGTGGCCTAGGTTCATAGAGGGCTCCCCAGGATGAGGCACTGAGGGTGGTGGAGGCTGTGTCCCTGGCTCTGCCAAGTCTTCTGTAATGCTGTATAATATGCTAGCAAAAAGCATCTTGTCCAAACTTTTCAGGCCAACATTTCAAGACCTTCTTTCTCCACATGCATTTTTCTTATCAGAAATGCACAGCTCCAGTCATGCCCCCTCTGCCTATACCTGTCTTGGATGCATCTGTCTTCCTCCAGGCAACCTTTTATAGTAATTTCTGTCCTGAATGGTCACCCCCATCTCCAGACTCCTATGTCATTCTTCTCCTTAGAAGAAGAACCGATTTTAGGATTAATCATAGTAACAGGCCTCATGCCCTTATACCTATTTTCTTTTCTTTTTTTTTTTTAAGTGTTTCTCACTGCATAGGTTAACTCAGGGCTGGCATAGAGAAAGTGTGAGTGAATAGATGGATAAGTCGATGGATGAACTGAAGGATAGTAGAAAATTAAATATTTGGAAAATTGATAGATAGATGTGAGACAGGATAGAAGAAGCTAGGAAAATCCTTTGGCAAGTGGGATGGGGAAGCTGAGACAGATAGCTGATTCAAACTGGCCTCATTCAGTACCTTCACACACCTGCCTCCTTCTCCGTTGCACAACCCTCCCTTAAGTATTAAACCCTTAGGACAATGAGGTTCTTATCAGCATCAAATAATTTTAGGAACAAAGCCTCGGGTCTGTTGACCTTAGGAACAAAGCCTTGGGTCAGTTGACCACAGAGCCAGAGTTTTGGTCAAACTAGAGATGACATCTAGGCCTCAGATGTGTTTCAGCTCAAGGCCTAGAAAAACTGCAAAACCAGATGAAGTGAGCCATGGCTGACATCAGGACCAGATGCACTGACCAACTACCCCCTACCCCAGAGCTGACCAATCAATAGACCATGACCCTGACACTCTCTCTCTCTCTCTCTCTCTCTCTCTCTCATGCATGAGCCTTCTTTCTTCAAGCATGTATCTTTGCTTTCTTTCTCCTGAGCTCTAAGGGTCCCCACGAGACTTGCAACCAGGGAAGCAGTGGGCAGCTTGTCCCAGGCTAACCCCTTGAACCTATCTCCAAGGGCCCTTCTTTAACCTCTGTAATTTGTTTCCTGAGTCTACTCAGCCCAGCTGCCTCACTTCTTTGCATCTGTGACTTTCTTTCTAAAAGGCCAAAGCAGATCTCTGAGCAACCCACTCCATCCCTCCTTGCTTGCTAAATAAATCTCCTCCTATGCTAGAGTTCCTGGCTCTGAATTCTTTCTTTGCCAAACTCAAGAACCAAGGTCTGACATAGCTGGTAACAGATGGATGACTAGAAAGTGAATTAGTATGAGTGACATGGATTGGTGCTCAATATGTAAATATGAAGAATGGATGGATGGACCAATGAATAGATAGATGGGTAGATACATGATGCCTGTGTAGATGGGTTGGTGAATGGGATATTTTAAATATGGATAGATAAGGTTGAATCTTTGAAAAGAGGATGTCTGGCTGGATGAACAAATGGTTGAAAAGGTAGATAAAATTGATGAATACATGAAGGGATGAATGGGTAAATGAATGATCCAAACCCTACAGCTTTGCTCTGAGTTATGATATGCTGCTTTGTTTTGTACCCTGCCTGTCTCTATGTTTTATTCCCACCTAGCTCTTGCATGCTTCTCTACTCCCTGGGTCATTAGCATCCTCCCTCTGCTGCCACTAGCTCTGGCATCCAGCCTGGCACCAGGCCATCTCCTCCAGCCCAAAATTAGCACAAGCCCTCAGAACCTCATCCTAGGAAGTATTATGTGTATTAGTGTGTGTCTGGTGGTGATGGGGTGGGTGATAAAGTGTGACAAGACAACTAGTAAGTGCCCCTTAATATGGCTACCCTGGGAGCTGTGACGAAGCCACAACTCATGATGGAAGGGACTGTGCTCCCAGGTGCCTCCTCCACACCTCAGAACACTGCCAGGTCCAAGCTCCATGAGCTAGGGCCAGTGATGGGTCTTGTAACAGGGAACGAGGATGGTGAGCACCCTGCCTTCACTGGGCCTCTGCTCCCACATCATCTAATGGAAATGGTAATAGCCATTGAGTGCCCAGGAGCACCACCCCTTCCTCCTCCCTCTCTTTGGCCTGCAGAATCCTTCAGCCACAAATCAC